TATTAGCGTTTTACTTTTCCCATCTATGTCCCCAATAATCGACTACCGTTATTTGATAAAGTCCTAACCAAATCTAGCAAATATTGGCCCAAATTGGGAATTTGTAACTGTAATGAATTTATTAATGTAATAAAAAATACTTAATTAGAATTGCATCAAATCAAACCTTGTTTGTTGTTCAAGCAACACGTTCGAGCTACTCGAACTCATGTCATTGCCAGATTCACAATCGACACAAGGCCACATCACCACCTTGCTTGCTTTCTTTGCTTGTATGTTTGTGTCACTGCTATGTGTGTCATTGCCTGCTCAAGCCTACGTCACCACCTTCTCCCAATTAATACAAGGACCCTATGTGTGTGATCGCTCTGCTCCTATTCGTGGTTTCACTTTTGCCCTTTCGTGTCGCTTCAGCTCAAAAATGGCTTGAATCTCCCTTTTTGCCTGCTTTCTCCTTCATTATCTCTTTATTTCTTGCTCAATTCGGCTGCACCTTTTTGTCTCCTCTTAAAGGCACGAAACCTGCCTCCTCCCTACTTGATTCATCTCCTCCATTTTGTCTCCCACCTTGTCTCCTTTAAATAATATGAAACCATGCTAGCCAATTTTAAATTTCTCGAGCATTACAAAAAGATCTATGAGCCGATTTAAATAAAAATAAACAAATTGTTGACAAACTATAAATATCTAGGAATCTATTAAAAATATGAAGGATAACATATCTAATATGGAAGGGTTTGTTTGTTGTGTGTTTTTTGCCTAATAAATAAATTCCCCTTACCTTTTGTTTCTTAAACAATACAAACTTTTTGTTTAATTGCGAGCACTCAAATAAAGTTATTTATGTGTTAGATTTTCGTACAATACTAAGATATTAATCTCTCGCTCTACCTTTGTAAATTTTGTAGCGCACGACAATTTATTTATTTTATTTGCAACAATTAAGGGAGAGACATGCATTGTAACCTTGTCTTCTCCAATTAATAAGAAGAATAAAATTCTATAACTTGAAAATTATAGTGGCTTATCCCGGCTAGGTAAGGCCGTGTTGCTCTTTTGCCTCTGGGATTTTCTACATAAAAGTTGTGACGCATCCTTTTTCAACTTTTCTTTTAGTTGTGTGTTTGATTTTCGTGCAACATTAAGATATTAAAGTCTCACTTTACCACCATGAATTTTCTAGTGCATAATAATATTAAAAATCTATTAGTTACCAAAATAGGTGCAACTTAATTAACCTAGCTTTACCTATTTAGTATAAGTTGCTCCAAAAATAAATCTACTTCAATAAATATCATTGGGGGATACAACTTATAATATCAAACCTTCCCTTATAAATTAACTAATAATTTCATTTAAATCATTTTATCATTACAAAGAAGAATGATTGTGATTAATTGGATTATACTACCTAACCTAACAATAAATAACAACAATCTTTAAACTACTATATGTAAAAAAATTAGTGAATCTTCCCTCAACTATTTGAGCAAAGAGGAAGTGAGAGTGCTTTAATAGTAATAAGGAGAGGGGGAAGGCAAGGTTGAGGAAAAGAAAATAGAGAAAGAGAGGAAGAAGAATCAAACATTGTTCTTGTTTGGTTGTAGAAGAATATGATCAGGAAGGTCGACAGCTATCTCACGGTCAAAGAGGAAATAGGTGTGGGAGATGATTGCTCCATTGAAGGTGTTCGCAGCTGCCAAGAAAGGGTAAAGCTGTTTCACATGGATCTATCTCCTTAAACAAAAATCTGATTCTCCCAACTCTATGCAAAGATTTTTTTCATGTGTTTAATTCTCAATTGATAAAAAGATCAATGTGTTTCAATCTAATAATATAAAGTAATAAAATCTCATTGAGTTTTACAATGAACAAAAAGTCTTACATCAACAAATTTGTGTTGACACTCCTCAACAAAACTCTGTTGTGCAGAGAAAATATCAACACCTTTAAATATAGGTAGAGCCTTTTATTTTCTATAGCACAAACCCATTCAATTATAGAGTGAATGCATGTTAATCGTTCATCCTTGATTAATAAAATACCATGTCTCCTCCAAAATAGCTCACCATATTAGTTATTATACAATGTATTGTTGACTACAATCTTCGAGTATTTGCTTGTTTAGCCTAGCATCAAAATTAAACATACAAAGAACAAAGTTCCAATCTAGATCACATGCTTGTGTTTTCTTGTGGTGCCCCTCATGGATAAAGGGTTATACACTATATGATCAATAAAAGAAACAAATATTCATATCAAGAGACGTCTTCTTCCATGTTGTTAGGTGAGAAAAATATATAAAAACATGTATCATATATCTCCTTAAATCGGTCTGGATGATGAGGCACATAGGTTGAAACAAGGGGTTGAGAGTAGGACCAATTAGCTCTAATATAGTTCATGACATTCAACTTCGTTAGTAGATGAATTCATAGATGGTACGGGAGAATCAACTCTTTGATTTTCTTGTGAGAGAGTATTGAACTAAGAGAAAAATCAATTCGAGAGAAATATCGTCAGTTGGAGAGAATACCTTCCGATTCCATCCCTTTCCTCTCCTATTACCTTCTAGTTCTATCCCCACCGTCTAGCAGACCTACGCCCCTCCTGCTCCCTCCTACGCTGCAGCCACCTGTTGCCAGCCTCCTCGCGGCAAGCCACCTTCACTTCTCCCTCCAGCGCCGCAGCTAGGGCTGTCAAAATGGCTCGTTGTTTGTGAACAGTTCGTGTTCGGCTCAATTATATATATATATATACATAGGGCTTGTAGGAAGGGTGGTAAGACCGCTATTTTTTTTCAGGTCTCGAAGTCTCTACTCTGGTTGGCAAATGCAAATTTACACTCATTAGGAAATTTCAGTTGGGGTTTCTCAAAATGGAAGTTATTCGCAAAGTTTTTGAGGACCTCAAACTTGTAGGACAATGGAAGGTGGGTCTCTTTGATGAGAGACATGTGATGATACATTTGACTGCTGATAAAGACTATGTTAAGATTTTCTCCAGGAAATACCTCACCATTGCAGGAACAACTATGAAGTTGATCGAATGGTTTCCTGAATTTGTTCCAAACCAAGAACCACTTACAGTACCAATATAGTTTAAGTTACATAAGCTTAAGTTGCATCTTTTCAACCATCAGGTCCTTTATTCCATTGGGGTCATGCTTGAGAGACCAATGAAATTAGACATGCCCACATTTAATCTCACTAGGCCTTCTGTCGCCAGGATCCTTGTGGAGAGAGATATCACTTTACCTGATATTGATGAAATTTATCTTGGCGCTGCACATAATGGGTATTGGTAACAAATTGTCATGGAACAAAGGTCATACTATTGCACCCATTGTAAGATGTTTGGACACACACTTGCATCCTAATTTGAGACCCCAACCTCAAGTGTCTCACCTAACTACTCAAAAAGCACCTATTCCACATGCTGATATGGCGAAAACTGCAACTAGAGAGGATATTGCCATTGATTTTGCCCCAGAGGAGCACCCCTCACTATCCCAGCCCCCTCATGTTGCTGAAAATGTGGATACCTCATTTTGGTGCCAGAAGATGCTCCATATGCTATGAAAACAATTATTGTTGGTGTTGAGGGCCCTCAAACCTTGGCGGAGTGCCAAGTTCAAGGCGTGCAACAGGTAGAACTTGCTCCCATTGATGATCAACTCAGTGATACGTTGGGACAACCCTTGGAAGATGATTGACATGTTTACAAATCCAGGAAGAAGAAAAAAGGACTAATGCAACTCAGGAATTTACAGGAGGATGCTTTGTTCATTTTGGGTGGAAGCCCTCATCACAGTTTGGTGCTCGATTCCTTCTCTAGAAAAAGAGGAAAGCCCACTCATCATGATTAAACTCTCGATAAGCCTGTAGACTTTTTTTATCTTTTTGGGGAAATTGTTTAGTTTTTATTTTTATTTTTATTTTTATTTTTATACTTGTACTTTTTTATTACCTTTTGAGTTTTGTATGCCTTGTGAGTGGTTTCCTAGCACCCGCTCACTAATATATATATATATATA